GGGGCTCGATCCCAGGACCCTGGGATCATGACCTGAGCCGAAGGCAGATGCTTAACTGACTGAGCCACCCAGGTGCCCCTGGCCAGTCCCAGTTCTAACTGCCTCTGTCAAATTTCCCGGGTGCCCAGCAAACTGCATGTCCCATTAGGTCATTTTGAAATTACAACAGCGAACATTTATCAAGCTCTGTCTATGTGTCAGGCGTATTTTAAGTATGTTACCTATAGCAGCTCACTTACGAACTAAGGCTCAGGAGTGAATAATGACTTGAGCTGTGTGGGAATTTATGGTCCTATGAGACACAGAGAAATTGCGATGGAATAGAACATTCTCAGTACCGTACCTTTTCATTCTTTGCTTCAGTGTCCAATTCAGCTATTTTAGCCCATTTCTGCCAAAAGTTTGGGTCATCTAAGGAAATATCTGTCCTGTTTCCTGAAGCCACAAAGCTAGCCTGTGGAGATGATGAAAGTCAATAAACTGCATTTGAACACAGTACAAACTGGTAATACCACCTACGTTATTTCAAATGTACCAGAATCTCAAGTATGTTCTCTAACTGCATTTGAAACCAAAACCCCTAACAGAGCCTCCCAAATGAATGTAAAAATCTCAAGACTGTTCTTTTCTAAAGATTGGGTAAGAAAATTACAATTTCAATGTATAGGTCATTTTGGAACTGAAACTTGGAAGCAGGAAGAAAGTCCCTGGAACACAATGGCAATGTGTCACTTGATGTCTAGTTCCCTGCGAAAGGGTTCCTTCTTCCAACTTCCCTAGGTGGAATTTTTCTTTCAGCTCACCACTTTCCAAACGTCTACTATAGGAAAGGCACTGAGTTAGGCAGTACGAGGTGTAATGAGATGAGCGGCACCCATAAAGCACAGGATGTTCTACTGAAGAAGTCCTACATAAGTCAACCAAACAGGCCACAAAGCTCCCAGAGCCTGTGGTCAGGGACACCTGAAAGTGATCTGGTAAGTGGTCTCATTAGCTGAATCCAAAATCCAGTGAGCTGAATGGCAGAGGAAAGGGGTACCTAGACTAGCAGCTAGGAATCTAGACTAACATCTCTTTTCTCATGAAATGAGCAAAAACACTTGCTTCAGTTTGAGGAATGGAATGTTCATTGGAATTTCAGGGCTTGGACAGTGGTCAAGGAGTGCTCTAGAAGGAAATCCAGATGACCACTCAAAGATGTCAGAGCAGTCTTTGTGAACAGTGAACAGTGCAAGCTGTAAACCAAAGTGTCTGTCCTGTCTGCTGAAGATCAGGTCCCAAACGTCAGGAGTGGTGTTTTCTTTCTATAGAGCTTCTGGCTCATTACTCAGAATTTAGTCTCACACAAAACAGAGGTGTACACAATCTCAGCGGTTTGCATATAGAGAAAACAGCCTGGCCAGTGAAGATCAAAGAATAGTTTTCTTTCTGCTCCCACTCCAACACGGACTCTGGAGGAAAGGTGCCATACCTTGGCGAAAGTAGACCCTTTCCCTTCGGACTGGATGGTGATGGTGTGGGTTCTTCTCTGCAGAATCTGGTCTATGTCTTCTTCACAGAACTTGGAGCCTTCATCTTCCTCATCCATTAAGGCTCCATAAGCACCTTTCCGGAGCAAGTCCTCTACCTCCATTTTTGAGAGCTGTTGTACCTGGACAGGTCACCAAAGGCTACTCACAAAGTGGAAAATGCACAGGAGAAAAACAGCCTCAAATCTGGCCCTCATGATTCAGTACACACTTCCTCCACTAACTGCACATGTCAGAAGAATAAAGATATGGGCTACAAGTTCTAGAAAATTAAAGCCCAGATAAAGACACTCAAGAAAACTATGGGGAGGGCAGGCAGATAATCCCCTATAGGGAGCTCTGGAAGGAAAGCCAGCACATGACCCAATGGCCCTAACATTCCTCAGGACATTGGTTACTATCAAATGTTACAAGGTATTTAAACTATGCACCACTAAAGAGGATATATTTAATGTTTTAGCTTGAGTCTGTATCTTTAAAAACCTCCAGATGTATTAAATGAGCTAAAGAATGATGATTTATTTGTTATTAAATAAATACATGAGTACTGGAAATGATGTCATTTCTCAACTAAAGAAAGGATCCTGTGCCAAGTGTGATCTTCTCAACTGCTTGTTGAAAACAGGAAATGGGAGTTCAAAACACCCTTTCCTGGTTGTAATTAAGAATCTGGTTCTCTATCAATCACAAGAGGGAATTCCATGAGTCCCAGCACTGGAACTTGAAGTATTATACTTAGCAACATACGCATAGCTAAGAGGATATAGAACATCTGGACTGAAGACAACTCATTTAGAAGGTTTTAATTCCCAACCTTTGATGCCCTGAGTCCAGAGATTAAGGAGATAACTCTGCTTTGTTGGCCTATAATTTAATACGATTTAGGAATCTTAGCTGCACTTTTTCATCCCTGTGGAGGGGGAAAAAGATTTTATTAACTGCCATATTGCAAGCTGCTAATTTTTTCATTCATTTTTTTCACTGACCATCATGCATTGAACATCTTTAATATGCCAAGTACTGTTAAGGTCCATGGGTGATACAGATAAAATAGGTTCCCTTATACCCCAAGGAAGCTCGAAGTCTGGAGTACAAGATGAGGCATGGTGACAATAGATATTTAGAGTGTTAACTGTTAAGATCTACTGACTTCTAATGGGCACTGTTAAAAACTCTGCTTACTAAAAACGTTACTGCATGCTGGGCAATCCTACCCCTTTACTGTACCTACAGACTTCCTTTATGCATCTGTAAAATGCAGAGATCTGACCCTGAATGATCCTCTGCTGTGGGGAATGACTCAACAAAGACGTGCAACCTGACTCGATTTAGTGAAAGTGAATCTTAAAACAGCTGTAGGAAGGAAGACTCCAGAGGGGCCCAGGCTGTGTGAGGAGTGCTTCTTGGGGACCCCGGGCAGGTACTGTCATACTCACTCCATTGGTGCTGCCCTTTCGGTTTATGTCCTGAAGAACAGCTTTGTCCAGGCCCAGCTTTAGGCTGGCCTTGTCAAACATTTCCCGCTCGTAGGAGTTCCGAGTAATGAGGCGATACACCTTCACGGCCTTGCTCTGGCCTATCCGGTGACATCGGGCCTGAGCCTGCGAAGGAAGGAAGGTCATATATATCATGTCACCAGATATAATGGCAGCAGCCCAAGGAACAGGGAAGTGCTTAAATACCATGTGGTGTGAGTGGCCAGCTCTCACAGTTATGAGTCATGGGACCAATTTTGGAACAAAATTCACCCAGATGTCGGCTGTCCCTTCAAACTCACTCATTTCTTTTTTTTTTTTTTTTCAAAGTCACTCATTTACTGAGTGACTACCATATGCTGGGATAAAGTGATGAGAAGGACATGGCTTCCTACCCTCCCCAGCTTGCAGTCTGAGCACAGGCACTCATTTCCAGGATGCTGTCCTGCTCTCTGGGCAAATGCCTCAGAGCTGGCAACACCACTTTTTCATTTTACTAGAAAGAAATTTTCACACATAGACAACAGTAAAGTACTTATGGACAATCGTTTTTCATCTCTACTATGCCCCCACCCTCTAAGACTATTATGAAGCAAATCCTAGGCATCCTAAGGTTTCATCTTTATGTATTTAATGTATAATTCAAAAGACAAGGACTCTTGTCTTTGCCATTGCCACACTTCAAAACATGAACACCTGGAATGAACCATCTCGTCAGTGTCCCAATTTCCTTGCTTATCTCATATGCATATTAAGTTTGCTTGTTCGATCAGGATGTAAATAGGGCCCATATGTTGTAGCGGGTTAATATGTCTCAAGTCTCTTTCAATCTATAGATACTCCTTGCTTTTTGACCTCTCCCTTTTTCAAATGCAACTTTTTAAAAAAAGATTTTATTTATTTGACACAGAGAGAGTGCAAGAGGGGGGAGGAGTAGAGGGAGAGGGACAAACAGACTCTGCACTGAGTAGGGAGCCCGATTCGGGGCTTGATCTCATGACCCTGAGATCATGACTTGAGCCGAAATCAAGAGTCAGATGCTCAACTGACTGGGCCACCCAGGAGCCCCTGAAATGCAACTTTTTTGTTGGAGAGACCAGGTTTCTGTCCTCTAGTTTCTAACAGTCCACATTTTGCCACCTGCATTCTGGCTGTGTCACTGAACAAGTTCCTCTGTTCCCTGTATTTCCTCTAAACTGGGAGCTGTATCTTGAGACTTGATCAGGTTAAGATTTGATTTCTGGCAAGTGTGTTTCTTGGTGGTGTTTGAATTTCCCTCAGGAGGCATATGAGGTCTGGTTGTCTTTCTTTGAGTGATAATCATTGACTAGATTGTAACCATTAGAGGTTACAATCCCTCATCAATTTTTTGGTTACCCTGATGTTCAGTTCCTGTAGAAAAGACAAGCTAAATGCCTGATTCTTTCTCTTTATTTATTTTTTAAAGATTTATTTATTTATTTTAGAGACAGAGAGTGAGAGAGTGCACGAGTGGGGAAAGGGGCAGAGGGAAAGAATATCCATCCAGACTCCCGCTGAGTGCAGAGCCCACAGCAGGGCTCCATCCCATGAGCCATGAGATCAGGACCTGAGCTGAAACCAAGAGTCGGACATGTAACTGGCTAAGCCACCCAGGTGCCCCTTCTTTCTCTTCACTTGAATCAGTTTCCAAAATAACATCCTCCAAAAGTGACCAATGAAGACTTTTCTATTTATTTTTTAAAGAACACAATGAGGTTATGCATTTAAATATATGTCCTATGTTTTATCCCATTGTTGTTATTCTTTTTCCTGTGGGAAATTTCAAGTTGCCTCCTGAATTCTTTTAACATGATCCAGTCGAATATAGAAAGGAGCAAGATGAGAATAAACTCTGGTGTTAAAAATGGATTTGGAGGTATCCATATGAGCTCATGCTTATGGGGGGTAAGTACACATATACATACATAGAAAGAAATAGATATGGATAGGTCTATTCATGTTTGCTTTCTGGTATGACATGTTCCATGTTCCTACTGTATATCTCCTGCCCAGACCTAGACTCAGCCATTTTTTCCTGGGAGTCCTGGTTTCTTTCAGTGGGAGTCTGGATGCTCTAGAGGCGCTCGTTGCTATTAGGTAGGTCATTGTTTCTAGGCCTATTCAGAAGTGTTTGTGTTTGTGTGTATGTGTGTGTGTGTAGTGTATCCAACCATGTGCATATATAAGACAAAATACATCATGAGATCGTACCATTATTTATAATTTAAACTTAAAAGTATGGGATTTTAACGTTACCAACCACATACCTGTATCTCTTTTTAACCATGTCAAAAAGCTCAATTCTCAACCACACCAATATCATTATTCATTTGATTTATCTCACAATTTATGTAATAGTCTCAGAAAAACTGTATCATTATGATCCCCCCAAAACATAACTAAAAACAATGCAAGATTTCTGTTTTCCTCCTCTCATAGGGTTATATCCCACTAAGTATGTACACTCATATTACAGTGTTTTAAATACACAGTGGCAGGTAGGTTTCTTTTTCTTTCCCATGGTAGGGTTAGAAAATCTGAAACTATTTTCTACATAATATAGGATTGAGGAAATGCATAAATATACAGAGAGAAACAGAAGTTAGGGTTTTCATGAGAGACTATGGACTCTGAGAAACAAACTGAGGATTCTAGAGGGGAGGGGGTGGGAGGATGGGTTAGCCTGGTGATGGGTATTAAAGAGGGCATGTTCTGCATGGAGCACTGGGTGTTATGCACAGACAGTGAATCATGGAACGCTACATCTAAAACTAATGATGTAATGTATGGTGATTAACATAATATAATAAAATAAAATAAAAAAAAGAAGTTAGGGTTTTCACTGTTGAAGAAGGAAGTTACAAATCTATAAAGAAAAAACTAGAATAACTGTGGTATTAGAATGGATTTAGAGGTTTCAGTATTAACTCGTGGCTAGGTGTGTGCCTGTGTGAATAAACAAACATACACATACATACAGGTATAGAAACAGATATGGATATATGTGTATTTACAGGTTTATTATACATGTGTACATATACACATACAAATGAATGCATGTTATGTATCTATGTGCATTTATATTCTGTGTATGTATTCCAGCTATGTCCACCGAACGGGCCTAGAAACAACAGCAAAGGCCATAACTCACTCTCAGATCTTGGTTTCTAAATATATTCTCCATTAGGATAAAAGCAAGGTATGTTAGAGAAATAGTTGATCCCAGGGCTGGGGGGGGGCAGGAAAAGTACAGGATGAGCCCCAAACATATTATTGTGCCAGAATGTAAGGAAGTACGCAAGGAAGGATGGAGACATACCCAAATAACACCACCAACTTGAAGAGGTTTACCACTGGCTGGCTATGTCCAGGATGATCTGAATATCAAAATAAATATAGTAGTGGAATATAACCCACTGAATGAAAAAAGAACCCATGAGTACATAATGACATCAATACAGGGGAGAAAAAAGGAAAACTCTTTCTTATAGTAGGATACGACTAAAAGAGTTCAAGTAACAAAGCTTAGAAAATCACTCCTTTGCAACCATCACAGTGCTGACTGATTCAGGCAAAAACAATCAATGGAAACTAAAACCAGTGGGTAAAACTGATGAGGAATATTTACTTACACAGTCTCAAAGTACCTCTCAAAATTACTTATTAATTTCAAAGGGAAAAACAGCAACTTTATAGTGGAGACATCTGGCAGCTCGCCCTTAACTAAGATACCCAAGTACCTATTATCACACAAACAGACATCATGCCTCTCGTAGTGCTGATATATTGAGAAGGATATATCACTTCACTGGTATTACTAAGCCTGAATCCAATCCTGAGGAAATACAAACACAGACTGAGGGATGATCTGTACGACTGGCCTGTACCCCTTAAAAACAAAGGTCGTAAAAGAAAGACTGAGGAACTCTTCTGACTCAAGAAGACTAAAGAGATATGGGAAGTAAGGTGATAGGTGCTCCTGGACTGGATGGATTTCAGACTGCGGGGGAAGAGGGGCTATGAAGGACGCTGAAATAAATGATAAATCTGAATATGGACTGTGGACTGAAGACTGTCTTCTTATTTCCTGATTCTGAGAACTAAACTGTGGATTATAGAAGAGAATGTCCTTGCACTTACACACTAAACGACTTGGGGACAACTTACTCGCAAATGGTTCAGACAAAAAATGGTGTGTGTACACATGTGTTTAAGTCTAAGTATGTACTCAGAGAGGTAGGGGAGATAGAAGGCAAAATGATAAAGTAAATGGGGCAAAGTGTAAAGAGTTGGTAAATCTGGATAAAGGCTATACTGGAATCGCAAACTGAAATGATATCAAAATGAAAATGTCAAAAATATTAAATACAAACATTTGAAATAATCTCTCCCTTGGGGTTACACTGTCCACTTGATATACAGCTAGATTCAACGGTTTCATTTTGCTTCTGCATTTTAGGGATTGATTTTTTCCCCCACATTAATTTAACCATAATGAAGGGAGTGGGAAAGAAGAAAACCAAACCAAGTAACTTTGGAAAATGGTATTTTGATTATATATGGCAAGACTAATGACACACAAACAAAAAACCAACCCACTACTACAGTCCAATATCATACGCTGGTAAATTTATTTATGTTTCACAGAATATGGGTTAGAAATTCTGCAACGACTTTATGTACATACTAGGACTGAACAAATGAGTAAATATACTGTGTTACCATGAGACTGAAACTTCCCACAGCCAGAGAAATGAGTTAAAAAGAAGGAAGAGGGGAAGGCTGGAGTGAATCCTGTGTTGTTGGACTGGAATCAGCAACTCACTGTGGGTGGACAGATATGGGAAAGTAGAGACGCATGGCATGCATGCTTGTGTCAAGCACACACACATACATACATTTCCTAGCTCTGTCTGCTCAGAGAGTCTAGAAGCCATGGTACTCTACTCTAGCAGCAACGGGCACTGCTAGGAGCCAGATCTTGGTGGCTAAATGCCATTTGTTTTTTTTTTTAAGATTTATTTAGTTGAGAGAGAGAGAGATAATGAGCAGGGGGAGGGAGACACGCAGACTCCCTGCTGAGCAGGACACCCACCCCGACGTGG